GCAAAACTTCTAGGTAGATTTTACAGTAGAAAATGTTTTATTTCTTATAATTAGAAATTGTGCGTATTTTTAAATGTTTTTAAAATTAATGCTGTGTGAAACTGGCTAAAAGGTGTACGATTATGATGAAATAATTTAAAATAACGAAATGTGTATTTCTCTAATACTCAGAATACCGGATGGCAAATAGAATAACGACCCAGACAAAATCTCGTCATAGAATTCTCTTTCTTACTCGTCCTTTTCAGCGAAGATCACCGGCGATCGCCATGTATAACTCGATAAACAAGTTTACTCGAGGAAGCCAGTATCTTATATATACATACTTACACTGGGTGTCCCAAGCAGACTTAATACTAATTGTTAAATGTGTTCTACGAAACAAAATATACTCAATACTAGGGTTGGGAAGTCATTACTTGTAACGAAGTTACAGTTACTTTATTTGGTATCTTTAACTTAACTTCGTTATTTTCTCTCCATTTGTATCTGTAACTTAACTCAGTTACTTTATATATTTTTTAAACCTCCACAGAATTAGGCCTTGCATTTGCGCAATAAACGCCTTTATCGACACTTTACAATTCCAGTTATTATATTACAATAATTGCATAATAACGTATTTACTCATTTAAACCGTTTATAAATTTTACCACCGACAAATAGCTATACTAGAGAAGTGAGAATTCAAGCGTCACGACTATTTTGAAATCCTGGAATTATCTCGTCCATAAATCCTTCTGCACTCGATAACTTTCAAACCACACATCTTAGTCAGCACACATTGCTTGTCGTTTCCTGAACTCTGAACTTTCGCACGTGTAGTTCAAGACCCGTGCCAGTGAAAGGCGGCCAGAGAAGGAGAGAAATAAGATATTTTCGTTTGGAGAACCCGATTTAATCGCCGCGCAAGAATTCTAACACATCGATCTCGAATATTAACGAAGCGATTAATCGAAGCGTGTGTTAGAAGTGTATGTTGTCACCCGAGTGTAATATATTCTGTCTTGTGCGCTAGCAATTCATTTCGAAAATGGCAGCAATCCGAGTGACGATTTTTCTCGACAACTTCATTCGAGTAGTGATTAGATGTCAATTTGTATTGGAATTTTAATTCCGCTACTTTCAAAAGAGAAGACCACTGGCTAAGACAAAACTAGGCTCGATATTATTTTATATGTCGCGGTAAAAATGTTAGAATACTAGTAAAAATGAAAGAAATTGAAAGCCTGGAGAATAAGTCAGAGAAGAAATAATATGAAAATTGCTTCACGTAATTCGAAAGTACACAGTGACTCTTAATCAATTGAGGAAAGTTTCTCCAAGGGGAGAAGGTGAGACCGAAGTTTCTTCGACTTGTACACTTAAATCGATGAGCAACCGTAATCGCAGGAAGATCTTGCCAGAGCACATTTGGTCTCTCGCACGTGCAATTAAAAATATTAATTTCAATGCGACCGGATACGACGATAAAATCGATTTTAATGATCAATCGTGCGAACTCTCGCGCTAATAATTCGAGTTGCGATTGATTTATGTGCGGATATAATGTTGCTCGCTTCCATGGCATTTCCTTTTTCTCTCCTTCCTTTTATTCTCTCTCTTTCTCGTGCTGGCAATTCGCGCAACACGCACGTTTGCCTTTACATTCGTGAAAAATAAGTGCGCCATATGACGCATCCATCTTCATTTGACGGTCCTGGCCCGGGTATCACGTTTTTGCCATCAAGAATTTGTGCGAAGCATTACTTATTTTTGCCAACGAAGGAGAGGCGCGAGAAAGATGGATGATTTCGAATAAAAAGATTGATGCTAATGATATTGAACACAAAGTTCAAAAATACATCTCTCCAGCTTTTCAAGAAAAACTTAAAAAATTGTTGAAACAGAGCTTGTAGTCTGCTGGAAAGTTTGTTCAAGTGATGAAAGTTTGCAAAATTTGAAGTCAAAACTTGTGCAAATTCATTTAATTTGTAAAGTCTTTTTATCGCTTATTTTCAAGATTAACTTGAATAATTTTTAAAATCTTGCAAGTACACGATAATATTCATAGAATTCACTTCACTGTTTATTATTTTATAACTTTGTATTATATGTAATTTATATTTATTTTCTAATATATTTTGTATAACTTATAGAAAGATGGACTAATACCGACTACAAGAATGAGAAAGCTTATCAATGTTTCGCTTACTTACTTGTGTATCATCCGTTGCGTCCAGCAACGTCGTCATTCATATCGTACATTCGGTGCATACGCGTGGAAACGTGTAAAATTTCGCGAACACTACTCACAAACTTCTATACGAACTACTATACACACAGTAACAATCACGAAATAGTGAGCTACTTCTGATTAGTGTCCTTCGTCACGAATTTTGTCACCATAACTAGAGACAAACATTCTGACCACTCTTGTTCGTTTTCTCTGATCATTTATCTCTTTTCACGCCGAATTCTCGTGTACAGTATTCCTAGATTTTTTATGTTAAGTTCAATTTCTTTCCTTTTCAATCCCGTTTCTTTCTTAGAACTTAGCGAACGTAATGAAGATCCTAGATATTCTTTAATCCTGCAAGGGGTTATCGGCCTAGAAACCGTGGTTTAAAGCGGGTTCCGCATCATTGGTATTGCGGTACACACCCAAGTGTTTCATACGAGAAATACAATGCTCCTATCTCATTATTTATAATTTGCAGAAAGGAATAAATCTGCAAATAATTAATTTATTTTTTAAAATTAATAATAATAGTATAACAATATATTTCCCCTTTTCCTTTCCTTTTCCAACAGATTTCTTTCTCAACAAGAATTATCTTTCTTCTGATAATTTCTTCTTTCTCGAGTAACAAATTTTCTTTTGTATGTTTTTTCTATAACCTTTTCTGTCATAAACATAAAAATTTCTTTTTGTTCTTCTTCTTCAGCAACTAATTTTGTTCTCCTCCTCTAATATTTTCTTTTTCTTTAATTACCAATTCCTTTCACGCAATCAATTTTTCTTAATAATTAATCATTTTTCTGTGATATCAAAAAAAAGTTTAATATATTCGACTGAAAAGTATCGCTGATCGTAACGACGATCAGTATGTATCTCAACGTAGATTCCTGGCTCGCGCATGTTAATGCCAACGTGATTTTACAAATGCGACAAGACTTGTTAATCGCTTCTCTTCACGATGAGCAGAGGAAGAGAAGCTTCTTGCTCCATTCTCATTCATTCTCGCAGAAAGCACCGATTTACGTTAATCAATGAAACTCCGAGTGAAATACAACAATCTGAATATCGCAGTTGAAAATCTGATGGTATATAAGACACCCTTAAACGAACTTGAAGTATCTGATCTAATTTAAAGTCAAGAATCTGTCTAAAACATATTTCTAACAAGAAAGAAAAATTTGCAAAAAATAATCCTTAAAATTTGTAAGTTAATATTTTCAGAAAAATAATTAATTTAAATAATCTATTATAATAACAATTAAGTAAGATTATTGTACATTTTTAATTCCTGATAATCTCGAATAAAATAATAAATAAAATAATCGACAGCAAGTAGTTTCCATTGAATTGTAATTTGCGCGTAATTAATAATTTTTCGATAGAATTAACTGTTTGATTAGAAAAGTACAACTGTTCAGACAATTTTCAAGTTAAGAAAAAAATTATAACTAAAAACGACTTAACAGAGAGACTATGATTTCTTTAATAAAATAATTAATTTCTTGAATAATTCCACCAGTGCCAAAAGTTCTCATTTAATTCTATTATTATTATCTCCAAGTTGATTATTACAGTATTAATGTTTAGCAGTTATTAATTTCACGTCGTTTCTACTTCCTACCAAAGTGATTATCACTCCATTAGGATCCCGATATCCATGTCGTCCATAATATCCTGCTCAATCACGTAGATTGGAAAATCAATGCTTTTCGCTATTTACTAACTTAATAACAGCCTCTTTGACACGATCGAATTTACGCTCACTCGATTAATGTTCCGGTATCCACGTCATATTACGTTAATCTAAGAGAACTATTTTTGCCTAATATAAAATGATTTTGTCAGTACGTCATTTCTCTACCGAAACTATAAACAGCTTACTCTGTTGCCAAAATCCACGTCGTTCTCCAGCATTATCATTCGTTACCCGCGTTATTCTCGATCCTGTCCCCCAGATAACAACTCAGCTACGATATTCACATCGTCATTGTACTTGCGAAGACGATTTCAAACTTTGCCTCGCTCCCCTTTCCTCCGAATAAAATCCGTTTATTTCGACGCGACTCTCGGGGACGCCTTGATGTCCTCGGGGCGACTCGCGTTATCATCGGGAGCGGCCTAAGAAGAGGATTTAGAATTCGCGTAGAGTTGAGCGCGGGCGTAATAAGAGACTGCCCGCTGACGGCGGTAGCCGCGGTTCGTGCCCACGAGCGGCGGCAACACGGAGGAGAACAGGGCAGGGTGAGATGACCCCTCTCCCCTCTCGCACACACCGGAAGGCTTCGGGCCTGGGCCCCGTTCTCGGCCCCCATTCCCGGCCCCGGCCCCGGCCCCGGCCGCCGCGTGCGAGCGGGCCCCGTCGGCGGAGACCCCGCGGCGAATCCAAGAGCTCGGTTTGCTATCCTTCTCTCTTTCTCTCTATCCCTCTCGCGTTCCCTCTTATCGCGATGAGGTTCGCGATGCCGCAAACCGGCGGGCCGAGATCGAGAGGGGTCCCCACGTGTCGGGGCCCTAGTCGGGAGGGCCTATCGACTGCAGTCGATAACAAAGCAGTCCCGAGCAGAGGTCGTCATATATGACGGTTCATTTTTCTCTTTGTTTCATTAAAAGCTTGATGATATAAGAATTTTAATATATCCACAGATTCTCTGAGAAATTCGCTTCACGACGTACGCGAGATTCCTTTATGACCTAATCTTTTAAGTTAATCACGGAAAATATTTTCACGAGAATACAAGTAAATTTCTGCTTTAAGTAATTTGATTCTTTCGGTGCTTACCTCAGTAAAAATCGCACAATCAAAATGGTGGGCCGAGTTTCTTCAGCTTCCTTAGCAGTTCCGGTTTGGTTGCCAGTGCCTTGTGGACAGACTCAATCAGTACTTTAGTTTGATCATAGGGTGGAAACGGCATGCCCTCGAGATTGTAGACGTAAACGACGCCCCCGACGTCAGCGACCACCAGCTGATTCCCGTTCGCTGTAAAATCAGCGGCCACCAATCTCGCTCCGTTCGTTGAAATCGTTACGGATGTCGGAGTGTGCGTTTTTCTATGGATGTCCCACACACAAATCTGGTCGTTGACGACGCTGGCGATGATGGTGGAACACGTGGGGCTCCAACAGGCGTTCCTTACACACGCCATTGCTGTCGACAGGGTGATGAGCGGCTCGGTGAGACCGTCGGCCCAGATCCTGATGCACCAGTCGGCGCCGCAGGTCAGAAACAACTTCTGACAAAAGGGTGAGAACTCGAACGAGTAAATCGGGCCGTCGTGCGCCACAAAACTGTCCACGTGCTGACGCAAGTAATTCGTCGAGCACCGATAGATGCAACCCTCGTCGGAACCGACCAAGTACACGTTGCTGACGACGGGGTGTCTTCGGAGGATAAGAGCGGCCGGTTGACGACTGATGGGCACGTCGTAAGCCACGCAGTGATCGGTTCTAGAAACACCACTTAGTTTACCCTCGACTCTGTATAAGCGCATGATCTCCGTGGCAAAAAAATCTTCGCCCAGACGGTAGCAAAATATCCGGCCGTCTTGATCGCTGGTGTAGATCTGTTCTTGGTAGTCGAATTGCTCGTCGCCGCTCCACCATTGAACCTGGGGGGAAAATTGAATATTATCAGCCAAAGTAGATTTCGTAATTAATACATTAAAGTATACATTTCTAAACTAAGAGAGTGTAACACGAAATGCATTGAACGCATGACTGAAAAGGGCGAGACAAACTTCTTTATTGTTCTTTAGCAATTGGAAATGAAAAGATTCTCGCTTATTACCATTTCATTTTGCACACGTACATTCAATGCATTTGCACAGTATGAAAACTAGAATAACAATACCGCGACAATTAATGTTCTTACTTGCCAATGTGGCGAGCAAGCCGCCGATGTCTCCCTACGACTCTGCCTAATAATATTCACTTTCTTCACGCTGACGTCGACTACCCTCACGCTTCCGTCGTAGAAACCGATCGCCAGAAGATTCGGCCGCTCCTTGCTCCAATCGATGTCGGACAGTGGACTGTCGAAGGTGTACTCGCGACCGGGCTGGCTGGGGTTCTTGGCGCACCAGATCAACAGTACTCCGTCCGGTCTGTCGGACCCGGTTTTGGCGCCGTAGGCGACAGCGAGGATGTTCGCGTTCGCCGGACTCCAACGAAACGCGGCCACAGGACGATCGTGCACCATCTCGCACGCGAATGTCCACAGCAGATCCAGCCGATAATCGAATTTCAGATCCAGGGCGCATGGATCGCGCTTAGTTAACCCGGTAAAGCGTTTCTGCGCCTCTACGAAGACGTTGTTTGCGATTATACGTTCCATCACGCGTGCCGCGTCCAGGAATCCTGTCTCCCGACAGATACGAGACAGTTGCTCCTCGGGGCTTCGATCGGGGGTCGTTTCAGGCTCGGGGAGCTTGTACCGGAGTTCCTGTTACGGAAATGTACACGGATATTACAGAAACTTGCTCCAATTCTTATCAGACAATTTTCATCATTTTGATTCTACTGACTTTATTATATTTATCTTGCTATTTTATTAACGAAAGCTACTATCTTCAAAAATGTCGAAAATTCAAAAACTTGGAGATTTGTAATGTTTATTCCTCATCTTCTGACGTCTCGTGTAAAAAATATTTTATAAATAATTTAGAATCGAAGTAATAATGGAAGGGGCTCGGAGCCTAGAATTGTAGTGTCAAAAAAATGTTTACTAGAGACGCCCGCCTAGTGAGAGGGAGAGGTCCAGGTTCAAGCCCAGGCTGAGGTAAACTTTTCGCAATAAACTTGAAAGTTAAAATCATTTAGACACCAACATCTTGTCTCGGTCCTTATATCCTTTATTACTTCGTATGCGTAAACATATTCGTGCCTCTTTTAAAGAAAACGCACAACTGTTTAAAGAAAAAGAGCTTGCGATCGCAGCGATTCTTACCTGCGCTTCTCGCATCCGCCGCATCGATTCCTTCGTGTGCACGACCAGGAGTCCGTCTCTCTCCACCATCAGCTCCGGTGCCACGTAAGTGTCATGCATTACCCAGTTATTGACGAACGTTCCCTGATTCCTGCGCGGCCTCAGACCGCAGTAGGTGCCGCGCGATTTCGTCAACACGCGTATCGTCTGCGTCTCGACGTCCAACAGCTTCCGACTCGAGCCCGGACCTACGGTCACGTACTCGTAATTCTCGTTTGCTTGCTCGACCGCCTGTCCCTCGGGCGTACGCAGGTCCTCGGTCATCTGCGGCATCTCGAACACGAGGAACGTTTGCGTCTCCTTCAAGGTGATCGTCACGGTTTCCGGACGTGTCGCGAATACCACCGAGTGGTCGCTGCAAATACACGTTATACCTTGTCATTTAAATTCGCGACATTTCACACGGATCTCTCGTATAAACACGACAGTCTTTCTGCCTCAGGCCCGAAGCTTGTGCGCTATCCACGTTTACGCTTACGTCTCTGTCGTAAGCTGTTACGTTGCTTTGCGCTCCGAGACGTAAGTCGGTGTTGGAACTGCTGGAAGTTGGTGCGCAAAGAATTGTCGCGTCCACCATATGTTATTTAAAATAATAAATAGAATACCATGAGGTTACATGCAATTTCAATGTGAATGAATGAGACTCTTATCTATAATCTAACGTAATCTGATGGTATTCTGTCTAGCATCTTAGGGATACGTGTACAATACAATTGTTTGTTCATTGACTCTTGACATCGACTCACGACGGAATCGTAAACGCTTGCAACATTTCCGCTCGGGCCCCGAAACGTTCGCAATGGTCGAAAAGTTACGTTTCTATCGGTGAAGAGAACGACACGACGGACGTTACCTAGGCAGGAAAAATGGCGGCGGCGCGGCGTCCTCGTCCTCCTCCGTGGGCAAAAGGCCGCACACCTGCGTGGACAGCAGACTCTCCATCTGCAAATCGTCAGTGGAGAAGGTCTTGAGGAGGGCGGACGAGCTGGTCCGGAGATTGCTGATCCTCGAGGGAGACGCCGTCAGTTGGGAGCCACTTCCGGTCTGGAACAATCCGATGGTCTCCAAGGCGGTCGTCTGGTTCTCGTCGATGGTGCCGAAGGCGGCGTCGACCAGCGGCTTCGGCGTCACGTCCACGTTCTCGCGAACGATCCGAAGAGCCTGCCGTTGCTGAAGAAGCGCCGAGGCGACGTTCCGCTCGCATCCCGCTTTACGGGCCCGCCCGAAGGCGCCGAGCTTTATCTTGGACGAAGTAACGCTGGGAACCCTGGAGGACGTCCGTTGCGGCGACCCCGAGTCGCCGGTCTTCATTCCGCCGGCGCGAGAGGGGACGAAGTTGCGCGGACCGAAGCTTCCGGGGCAACGTTTAGGGTCAATTACGCGAGGAAGCTCTTACCGCCATACTCCGCGCTTCCTTGGAGACGTTTAATCAATCTCCAACGTGTAGAGACGGGAGGAGCGAAGCTTTTTGAAAAGCGGCAAAAGCGTGGCCCCAATTACATTTGTCGTACGGCAAGTTTTTCAAGCGCGTTGATTGGCTGCGGAGTAGAAAAGTTGCCGAGTCTCGAGAAATTGTCTATCCCGCAGCCAATCGACAAGCTCGAAAAATTTATCGCGCGACAAATGTAATACCGGCCTCGTTCAAACTTATATACGGGAAATAGGAGTCTGAAGAGACAACTTGCACGCAGTTTTTCGTAACTTTTGACCTTTTCAATATTTTAACGCCACTTACAATGTAATAATTAAATTATATTGCGAGCAACATACACGACTTACATTTTTTACAACAATTATTGAAGAGAGGGCCAATGCGAGCCAAAGCCAAAGTTTTGTTTAAAGAAAACCATTTATTGTGAAAACTTCAAACGTTAGCTTTGTCTCAAATACACGTTCAAAGGGTATTTAGCCAAGAAATGATCCGTATGGATGCTACACAGATCACTTTGCTGGCTGAGAAATACTTGAAGAGATACTTGAGACGATCCCTAGGGCCGGTATTCATAGTCTTTAATGTGTCTTTAACCAATCACAGAGCCGTATTAGCCACTTAAGACAACACGTAAGGTGATTTTGAAATAAGAATCGACTGTGAACACCGGCCTAAGTATTAAAAGAATTGACTGCGAACAAGCTTAAAGCCCGTATCAGACTACGGATTGGGATTGGGATTAGATTGAAATTT